CGATCAGTTTTTTGCCAGCAAAGACCAAAAATTTTATGAGCGTGGAATTATGCTACTACCAGAAAGATGGCAAAAGGTGTTGGACCAGAACGGTCAATATATAATTTAATAAAGTATTTATTTATTATACGAAAACTGTCTTTCATTTCCACAAAAAAAAACGAAATGACTTTCCGAACAACCCTATACATTAGGGTATTTGAATGTTTCGGTTACAATAACTTTAAATTCAATTGGCTAGGGGGTAGATCAGGGGATAGTTTTCTAAGCTTAAGTTTCTTTTATTTAACTAGTCATCAAGTTTCCTTTGTTTACGAAACATCGTTTCTTTTTGTACTTTTATCTTTTATACTATACTGCCATGAATTAGGAGATATATTAGAGAAGGAAGATATTGTGGAGATAGTTGAGCTAGGCCATCCCATAATGAGAGAAGAATTCGATGTAGCATTAAAAAGCTTAAAGAATAATAAGGCGTCAGGGAGAAATTCTAAAGCATGCAGGACAAGAGATTAGAGATCGTATATTTAAGCAAGTTAGTTACATTTACGAGACGGGGAAAGTCCCTGAGGATTATAAACAGAACGTGGTAGTAACCATACCTAAAAAGAGAGGCGGGGATAGGTGCGAGACATTTAGAACAACGAGCTTAACTTCTCATGAGCCAAAAATCTTAACTAGAATTGTACAGAGGAGGATGGAAAAAAGGGCGGAAGAACTATTAAGGGAAGATCAGTTTGGGTTTAGAAGAAATAAAAGAACGCTGAAGGTCATTCTAGCTTTACGGCTAACAATAGAGAAAACGATTGAAAAAAGAAAGAGTGCGTACATAGGATTTGTAGATTTAGAAAACGGTTTTGACAGTGTTACATATATCAAGATGTTAAATATAGGGATGAGTTACAAAAATAGAAGAGATAGCTTTAAATAAAATGCAAGCGGCATTGACAAAACAGTATTATATGAAAATAAATAAAAGTAAAAAAATACCGGTATGCAAGGGAAGGAAAAGTACGAAAAGAGCGAATATAAAGATAGGAGACGAAAAATTAGAAGAGGCTGATTTTAAGTATCTAGGAAGTCAAATAAGTTAGAGCTGAAGGAGTAAGTAGGGATATAAAGCAGAGGATACCGCAGGGTCGAGTCGCCTTCAATAAAAAGAAGTCAATTCTATGCTCGCGAACGGTTAATTAGAAAATCGAAAAAGGTTGTTAAAGGTGTATATTTGGAGCACGGCGCTGTACGGGTGCGAAATATGGATGGCGGGCGCGGCGGAAAAGAAAAGGTTAGAAGCGTTCGAAATGTGATGTTACAGGCGAACGATGAGGATACCGTTGATAGAAATAAATGAAGAGGTATTAGAAAGAACAGGAGAACAGAGGATTCTATGGAAGTCAATAAGAAATAGGCTAGATAGGTTGGTAGGACACCTTCTTAGACATGAAGATCTAATCAGAGGCATATTAGAGGCAGAAACGGACGTTAGTTTTAGGAAAATGCGAATATTATCTCAAGATAGGAAAGAGTGAAGGTGCTTGTCTAACCAGTCTTAGGACAGACGACCTTGTGATGATGATGACTCTACTATAATTAAACTTAACTTAAATACTATCACGTATTAAATATCATTATTGTGAAAACGAAATATCCAAAATTAAATTTATTTTTTCTTTACTCTCTAATTAACACTACTCATAGTTAATACAATAAATTGTTTGCAATGCATTGCAGTTTTTTTTTTCTTTCATTTATATTAATAAATTATGTTTCACAAAAAATATACATAGTATAAATTTTATTATAGGCGTTTCAAAATTTAAACAGGTATTATTTACAACCGCAGCACTTTCGATAGTTTAAATGCCTAGTATAAAAACTGAAGTTTAATTTCATCTGATTTATTAGCTAATGTTTTATGTTTTTATTGAAAAAATTAGCTAACATACTTTCATAATTTCATATTTATTTCTGTATTAAATACATGTAATAGATAGATATTAATAGGTTGTTACTTAAAGTTTCGTTTCTTTATTTCCTGAGTATACACTGAACGAAAAAGGTACATATATTCAATAAAAAAAAACATTATATTGATGAAAAATTAATCAATTTTGGTCCAATGATTTGGTTCATTAATATTATGAACGTATGTTCATTAATTGATGATCGTGTTCATTAGTTGATGATTTTTTTCATTGATTTCCAACCTTTGCGGATTTCATTGAAGTAATGAACAAATTCATTATTTCTATGAATACGATTGTAAAAATTAATAATCGTGTTTCTTCAATAAATTATAGAATTAATTATATTAACGAAACTTGTTCATTATATTACTGAAACTCGTTCGTAGTATACGTAGATGAATGTTTTCATTATATCCATTACATACGTTCATTATATCAATATAACTTATTCATAGTGTGGAAGAACTTTTTCATCAAATCCATTATATATTTTCACTATATTGATACAATACATTCATGGTATGGATAAACACATACATAACTATTAAGGAGCTTAAAATAATTAAATAGTCGTGGGGAAATAAAATAATCTTGTAATTTACAAAACATATATTTTAAGAACTAACAAAAGTAACAAAAAAAAATACAGAAAAGAATTTACATTATGTTTTAAATAACAACAAATAATAAATTTTAATTTGTTTTACAACCGGTTCAATTCCTCCATTAACAAGTAATGCTTAGTGGACTTATTTTTGCTAGAAGTGGAATTCATCTTATAAAAATAGTCTTCGATAAACAACCAAAATTGAGTACATGTTTGGGGTTATTCTAAATTGATCAAATGGAATATTTTGAAGCATATATCTACACTACGTAAAAAATTTTAAAAGTTTAGTTTTACTCCGTCTACATAGACATAGAAGCTTTCAAAGGTCCGGAAATCTTCGCTGGCTATTGCCATGATAAACGGCTGGATGTTTTCTGATCGGGCTTTGAGGAACTCCAAGTGGTTCTTCAATATGCTGCACACTCCTTCCGATAAAGAGAAATGATTCCTGAGAATCCTTTATAGCGTATTTAGTCACAGATTTTCTTCCGTTGTTGACCTTCCTGACAATTTTGCCCGTAGGGAAAGGTAGCCATGAAGGCTCAAAAAAAGTTTTACAACTGTGGAATCTGTAAAAATAAAATAAACATTTCCCAAATCAAATCAATGTGATATCAAAAAAATACAGAATTTAAAAAGACCCTTTTATAGATTTTGAATAGATAATTGCATGTAGAATTAGTAATACCAAAATTGTTAGTTCCTAGCTAGGTAGGGATAGCATTTCTATCTAACAGCAACCACGTCACCCGTTCACAGACAGCAAAATTTCGATTTGAAATTTTTAAGTAAAAAACGTCTGTTATTTCTCTATAGATGAAGTAGAAGGATATAGAAATTTTGTTACTGTTTCTCACCGTAAATTGTTTCTCCACAAATGAAACATCTCATGGTTATGGATAATATTGTTTCCTGTAGTGGAAACGGAATGTTCCTGAAAAGATGTTACTTATAAAACATCACTTTTGCACTGTGTGTCTGTACTGTTATTTACTAAATCTTAAGAATTGCAACTCTTATTTTATTACTGATTGAGTGTTACCGATTCCAAATAGAAGATTTTTCTTATTAATAGAAAAATAGTAAAGACTTATAGACTGAATATAAATCCTCACATTGAAAAAATAAAGAAGACGTGAGACAATAAAGTGCGCTACCAGAACTTCTAGAGACTTTAATTCTTACAGATTTTTTAAAGCCAAAAAATGTAGGCGGTACTTTCTCGTGGTAAAAGTGCAGATAACCAATACAATTTAATTGTTAAAAAAATAAAACTTACCGTATCATTCCGGTTCATTGTTTAATACACAGCACACAAACAGGACACATAGCTACAACACTCTTTGCGCTTTCGCGGGTGGTCGTATACTGATTTGATGTTAATTTTTTTAGCGGTTTATCCAGTAAAATAGATGAATTGGTACATTGTATTGATGAATTTTTGCATAAATCGATGAAAGTATTCATGTATTTTATGCAAAATTTCATTCCTCAGTTCAGTGTTCATAGGTGTATGTAAAATTTCATAAATGTAATGAACCCATCATTAGAAATCATATTGTTCCATATGACGTAAGCAAAGATTAGGGTTAAAAAAGAGTCGTCACTTAATGAAAAGTTTCATCAATTTTACCAGTGGGAAGGAATTTCTCAAGAAACCTTTTGATGCGAGGTTGTTCATTATATTAATGAACTGTAGCATTACCTATTCAAAAAAGTAATGAATATGTTCATACAATGAATGAATTTTTTCGTAGTTTCAATGAATTTCATTTGATGAACGGCGTTAATTATTATTACGTACAAAATTTTTTTCAGTGTAGAAATTCGTAAGTCACCGAGTGAAATAGTATAATCAGTCGCTACTTATGAACTTGATGCAACCTTTGCTGAAAGTAATGACGAATTCCTATCTCCAGACGAACGAACCTACCCAAAAGAACTTTATAGATCAATGTCGAAAGAACGAAAAGAAATGTTGCGGCGTGAACTTACGTAAATGATGACTTTTAATGTTGTTCGGAACATACGAAAAAAATATATTGAAGCACGAAAATCATCAGCTGGTTAGTGGGGTCTCCACAAACACTTGTTTAATATAAATAAGGTGTTTTGTACTCGATTAATACATTCAAAGTCCTCTTTCCGTAGAGTTAAATCATCTTCTGCATTTACGTAGTTGCCAAAGAAACAGAAATGAAATTGGTAAGCCTTTAAATTTTAAAATATTTAACAACTAATACATTTTCACAAACGTATAGGGTAAGGATTCCGAATATGAGACACCATTTTTATTTTTGGTCATAATAAAACATATATTATTGCACTAATCACTATGAAAATTGCAATATTTGATAGGGTGTTCAATGAAATTTATTTATGAGAGACCGTTTAGTTCTAAGTACCTATAATACATTTTTTATTATATCAAAAAATATTAAAAAGTTCAGAAATTAAGTCTCAGGTAAATGAGATACTAAGGGTTGTTAATATGAGATAGTATCTCATATTAGGTTCTTTAGGGTTTGAGTATAGATTTAGAGAACAAGGAAAGAAACCAATTTAAATTAAATTTTTTATTGGCTATATTCTCTAATTAATAACATCATACTCCTNACGACTTAATATATTTGTGTAATGTACATAGATACTCTTTATATTAAACTCATCATAATCACAGTGATTTTCAAATGGCATTTATTAAATAGTATCAAAAACAAAACTATTATTCTAAGTCTTATATATTATTTATGTCAGATTCATAGCATCGTGGTCCCAGGATTTCCTTTTGATCGACGCCATCTAGAATAAAGGATAGTCATTATATATCCTAATATGAGATATCCATTCTCATATGTCTCATATTAGGAAAACATCTACATTCAACAAAATGGCTGCCTATTATTTCTTAGTTAAAGAAATGCAACAAAACTGCAAATGTATCGTAACATTTTTTGCTAATTTTTAATCCAACTTCACAGATCGTGATGTCGTCCATTATAACCCTTGCTTTTGGAGCTCGCCTAGATACCAATTATCTCCCTCCCCTGGCAGGAGGCTCGCCTGGGTATTCTGGTGCAAATGCAGGACCTCCTTCGGAATATACCAACGATAACAACGGCGATGGCAATTACAGATACAGCTATCAATCACCCACAGGAATCAACGCCCAAGAATCTGGACGTTACGAAGCCAATCTTCCGGAAGGAGGTGCTGTAGTAGCTCAAGGATCTTTCTCATTTACTGCGCCTGATGGACAAACGTACTCTGTACAATATACCGCTGACGAAAACGGATTCCATCCGACAGGAGCCCATTTACCAACTCCCCCTCCCATCCCCGATGCCATTGCTAGATCATTGGCGCAAAACGGAGGTGCAACCCCTGATAACGGTGGCTATAGATATTAATAATAATGCAATATAATGTTGTTGTATATTTTTTAAAAGTGATTACTGAACTTGAAAGACTAATAAATAAATAATGGTTTATAACAATTATTCTGAAGTGTTTCTGTACTTAACATCGTAAGTTTAACTGGAAATTTTAAGTGGATTTTGAAGCTTGGTATAAGAATAAAACGGGCCTCGTATTTTTTACTTCTTCTTACTGATACAATTCAAAATTATTTGTAAGGCAATTAATTAACCAAATATACAGTATAAGGTACTAACAGGTGGGACACAATTGTTTTTTAACATGAAGTATACGATTTCCAGTATTACCAAAATTGTATTGTAATTATTAACGGTAATTGTAGAATTGATACATTTTGAAGGCTTTACTTAATAATTAAAATAGCCAAAGTGTACAAATTGTTCATAAAAATTAAACTGTATGACGAAAAATAAATTTACAAACCGCCGCCAAGAATTTAGCAAAAGGTTTACTTAAATTCATAACAAATACACTGGCGTATGTCAACTTTATGCCTTTGTATTTATCCCACGAAATAACAATACCGTCAAATGATTCAGAGATGGAGCCAAGTAGACAATGAAATAGCACTCATGTGACAGTATAGCCATGAATGTGAAATGGTGCTAACTACGTGTATCGCAACTGCGGTCAAATCACACACAAAACTATGACAGAAAAATCGCTATTAATTCCATCTGTATTCTATAGTTCATTATCGAACGGTATGGCGTAGACCCTAGAGGTTTATATCATTGCTTAGCATTCTGTGTGGCACCGATTCACCGTCTAACTTTTTCAGTGGTTTCCTTAACTCACTGAGGCACGTGCTGGGGCAGTTAATATTCCAAACATAAACTTTCACTCTCTTCTGTCCTCATCTTTCTCACCCCTATCACTACCCCTCCATTGCCACAATTAAAAGGAAACTGAAGAGAGCCTTCCGCCCTACTCTTCACTCCAGAATAGTCCAGAGGAACTGGCCACGTGGCCACTCATCAGTATTAGTGACTGGAATGACGGTAGACTGAATATAAACACAATAACACACCGTACACTCCGAACAAGGCTTTATTTAAAATTAAATATACTGAAGAAAATATACTATAAGCATAGAAATTTTAAATAATGTATAATATATTTAAAATCCATTAAGTATTACTTGACAAGAATAGCTTGGCAGTTGTATGTTTTACGCCCTCCGACGCGCGGTGGACGCAGTTAATTTTGTGGTGGAGACAGTCAGTTCGGTTGTGATGCTTTCATAGAGACATGCCGGTAAAACGTAATCACCTATTATTATCAGAAAATAAAAACACCACAAATTATAACTACATAGAAACCTACCTGCAATTAAAAATGCCTCATTTTTAATTTTACTGAGTTTAGTAAAATATCTTCTACTTTGTTTAGTAAACATTTTTGATAATTTCTGCATAAAGCAAAATAAAAATTTATACTTAATACAAAAGCAACTTCTGATAATAAAATAGTAATCACGTTAATAACCTGCATTATTATCTATAATATACGAGGGTGGATTGATAAGTTTCCGGCCTGACCAAGAGAAACAAGGTNCTGTGATTGTTGTATATAAAGGCATTCTATAGTATATTTACTATCAGCATTGCACCCGTGCGAAGCCTAGTGTACAAATAATATCATTAAACCAATTCCTCAAACCCCTATCCCGGTCTGTTTGTGTGTTTGAAAAAGTTTCACTTCAATAGCGTGTTGTATAATTACACGTTGTATTTTTTTGTACATCTTTGATTCTAGATTTAATTCAAAACAAAACTTTTTATTTTATCAAATGCAAATTATACTTTCAACACAAAAATTTGGTTACATTATTCATACTAAATTATTTAAATCGAAAAAAAATATGGTATAAAAATAAATTATTCAATTTTTATTACAATTGTCATTACAATGAATTTAGTTTTTACTTTATTTAATAGAAAATATGGTTTCATAGGCACAATAGAGTTGAGATTTTATGTGAAAAGCATATTTTTTATTATTAGGAATATCACCCCAATATTGTGTCTATTTTACACTGAGATAATACGATTAACGACATTAAAAATTACATATTTTGCATAAAATCAGGCTTTAGTCAATATTTTTAGTTTTTATGCATAAAATATCAGATTAGCCTTCATTCTTTAATTAATAGAAATTGCATGAAAACAGACTTTGTCGAGTTTTGCTGAAAATGAGAAGAAATACTATAGTTAAATTGAGTTTTTGGCCCAAAATTCTCCTACCCAGTCAATTAAAGCTATTTTCAAAATAATGTCTGGTATACATGCATCTGCACTATATGCTTTTTGGCAAAGGTGTGTGTTTCCTGATTTAGCATCGCATATACTTCGGGCTACTTGCTAATGTAATCCATGATGACCAAGATATATAATTTATCAGCGTTTGCCATTGGGAATGGTTCTGCAACATCGACTGCGATTCTCGAAAATGGCGTCCCACGTTGCACTACTGCATTCGTCCACGGCTTCTCGTCTTCGCTCCGTCACTGGCGGCGCATATCGGACATTTCCTGCACCAATCTTCCACGTCGCTTCAACTTCGTGGCCAATAGATTCGCTCACTTACTTTCCTTAGAATATTCATAACTACGAAAAGTCTTTCGCCATGAATTGCTTCTAAAACTTCTGAAACTCTGTTCTTCGGAAGTACCACTTGAAATTTGTTCTGAAACTCTGTTCTTCGGTAGTAACACTTAAAGTTTGTTTTGAACCTCTGTTCTTCGAAAGTATCACTTGAAGTTTGTTTCTGGTTCCATCTGGACTCTCCTACACTCTTTTCTAAACGCTGTGGTGTAAGATAAGGGAAGTCCACTGGGTCCAATAACTTTTCATTGTCTGGCATAGGTGGCTTACATCTACCCACGATGGTTTTGAGGTTTCGGCTTCTTTCCATGTCGTTATTGGGCTAATATCTTCTTCCTTCCTCTCGTCTTCGATTAATATTTTATCTTCCCAGGATCCTTTCGGCTGAAAGGTGGTTAGATTACAAAAGATCAATGCTAGTTTCCATTTCTTCTCCGGGAAAGTATATCTGCTTTGCCATGTTGTTTGCTCGACGTCGAACTCGTATTCCTGGAATCGTTGTAATCATGGTGCCATGTGTCTTCCAAGTTCTTGAACTGCAGTAGTCGCTTTAGGGAGACGTGATCCGTTCTCAGGAAGAACCGTCCATACAAATACTTGTGGATATGTCCAAGGGTTTTAACCACAGACAGTAGCTCTCTACCAGTGGCACAATCGTTTCAATCTTGTTTAAAGAGTGCAATCTTCAAGTTTCTTATCGGGCTAAATCAGTAAATTCTTGAATTAATGTTCGGTAGTAGAAACAAAGTCCCAGAAAACTTCTAAGTTCATGACGATACTTTGGTATGGGCTAACTTCGTACTGCATCCGTTTTGTCAGGATGGGATGCGCATTGTAGAAGTGCTAAGATTCCATGTTCTTGATGACGATCCAATCCAATGATGGCATCATCTAATATATCGGCAATCAAAACAAAAATATGATAAGATACCATTTCCAATTATAATTTCTATATTGCATTCTCCATGGATTGGTAAACTCTCTCATTGTTCAAGATCATTCTTTTTGCCAGATCAAATTCGCCATTTGTGGTGAATGCGCCTGGTTGATAACCATTTCAATATTCTGGTGATTTGTAGATCCTTCTATGAATAATTAGTTACTTCCAGTCAGTATTGAAATGATGACTTTTTCGGGGGCTTTGTGAGGGTGAACCAACTTGCGTCCCATAAAGTTGGTGAATTTTAGTACTAAATAACCCATTCTTCCACAATTCCAGCACTTCGGACAACCAGTGTAGTTCTTACAATTTTTGAGCAAAATGACCAATTATTCCACATTCCCAGTATTTTGAGTTTCGTTCTTTCTAGTCTGTAGCAACGGGTTTCTTCGTATCTTCTTTTCCATCTCATTATCATGTACCTCTTCCTGCAATCTCATGTTTATTTCTTCCTGTGTGTTCTTTATTTCTGTTTTCATTTCTTCTTGTTCCATTTTTATTTATTCTTGTTATTTTTCCATTTTGTGTGTCGTTTCTACCATCATTGCCATTAATGCCTTTATTTATCCCTCCATTTTAGCTTCTGTATCTCTGGCATGTAATATTTCGATTTCTTCTAGGAAATTCAATGAAAATCTTAGATTTTTGCAAAAACGTTCTTCTTCTTCTAGAACTTTCCAATGCTATATGACTTGTTAGGGTTTCTTGCAGCATATTTCGATGAAATCCTTCAAAATCCTCTATCTTCTCCAATCTTCTTTGATCCAACTTCTGACAACAAATGTGTTTCCTATTATTACTAATATTGAGTTCTTATGTATATGTATATATTTGATAATCGTAATTTTCTATAGATGTAACTATGGGTCAGTTCGTTCACATTTGTTTTGTTTGACGGTGGTCGTACCCCGAGGTTGGCGCCATTGAAACGCAGACTATCACTGTAGCCTTTTGTTTAAAGGACAGTTTAAAGATGACAGTGGTAGATTAGTGATCCCGGAACACATGAACTTGCTGAAGAAGGTGTTGAAGAAAGACAATAACGAAGTAAATATAAAAGTAATATGTATAGGGCCAAACAGATAACTTTGATGATGATGACGATGTCACTAGTCCGTCATCTATGGGTTGTTCGGAAAGTCATTTCGTTTTTTCCCGACAGAGGATTTAATTGTATTCTTTTGTACCCAACTTCACATTTAAGCCGTATAATTTTTATATGCTTTGAGAGCTCATATAGCAAGGCTTGTGTGTGAAAAATTCCAATTAATTCTACGCAGTAGTTTTTGGTTGGTGCCCTTTTAAATATGGAGAGCGATAAGCAGCATTTTCGACATATCTTACTGTTTTACTACAGAAAGGGTAAAAATGCTGTTCAAGCCAGAAAGAAATTGACTGATGTGTATG